GCTTCTGATCAAGTATATATATATATATATATGTACCTCAATTATTGTAAACTTTTGAGCTTTCATGAATAAAAATTATTATTATCATCACCATTCTTCATCAGATCTGGTATTTTTGAATTACCTTTTTTGCAGTTGATAAAATTCCAGAGTTCACTGAAATCAATGTAAGTTTTTTATTTATTCTTCATATGTGTTGTTCATATCTCTGTTCGAAAAGATATGAATTTGTCACAGTTTTTTATTCCCTATAATTAGGGAGTTGAGTTTTTTGTTTATTTTCATGGGTAACGTGTCACTAAATATCTGATATAATTTGGCATTCATCATTTGACAGATATTTTCAACATTTTTGCACTGCGTAAAATCACTCCAATCAACCAATCAAATTATTGAATTCATTAAACGATAATCAGTCTTTCTGGGATTATTAGTATTTGGGTGTGGCAAAATGACTGGCGAAGTCATAATGAGCAATATCTGAGGGAGGATGCTGAGTATATTCACGTATGAGTGGAAATTTACCCCTTCCAACCCTACATAGTGTATTGGATATTACCAAATACAAATATCGTCCATTATCATTAGAAATAAAATTATGTGGTTCAACATCGGGTATTTCTAAAAAATTGGTCAATATTTTGCATTTGGTATTATCAAGCTCATTATTATATTCAGGTACATTGCAATTATCTATAAATAATACATTTTCATTTTGAATACAATTCAAAAAAGCAATATTTTCAAGGAATTCTCACAAGTCGTTCGAAGATTGCTATCAACTGAGGACGATTCACCTCGCACTATATCGGTGACAGGCGTCATCACTAAAACTGATTGATGGACAATTCTGAAGTGGGAAGGAAGTTTTTCAGTATCGAACGCATTGGATGAAAGCCATCTTTCAGGAAAACGAATGATATAAAAGTTTTCGTGTATGAGTATAATGATAACACTTCCAAAATACATAACATGGAATTGTAAAACAACAACAAATATTAATTGGCGCTCCGGGACGAGCTTTTCAGCTGCAGGAAAACCCGGAAAAACTTGCAGCACCACATCATCTAAAGATCTTGTTTTGCCAATGTCTTCTCTCTCATAAAACAAAATGTAAAGTGTCTCCAGAGGCTCCAATAAATTTAATACATGGCCAGAACACTTAGTGACACGTCAAACTTAAACCAGTCCGTTTCGTCTTTATCAAAGGCGTAATAATGACCAGATTCAACGCCAGAACCATAGTGAATAATGACTGCATGAAGATTATAATAGTGGTCTGCTAGATCTGTTTAAAATCTATTTTTCCGTTAATCAGTTGTCGCCCCCATACGAACGACAACTCTCAGAAGTTGAGACTTGCGAGCTAAGGACTAACGAGGTCTTACCTTTCAACGTGTGATTCCCAACACGGTTGCAGAATCATCCCTGCTTCAACCAGATAAATTCTCTCGAGAAAAATATCTGGTCGAGGCAGGAATCGAACCCTCGGTCTTCCGATCGTGAGTCGGGCGCACTACCACCGCGGCCAATTCTACAACATTGAAGTGTTCATCAATTTGGAACCTTCGTAAGAGTTTGGTGCTTCCCTCAGAGGTTGAGTCATGTTTGCAGATCATCAGTGTTATTTTTAGATTGACTGGTGCCTCAGATATACTTGTTTTCTCACAACAGTTGCTTAGTTTGCATGTAATTCTATTACTAGATTTTCCTCAGTTTTCCCTCGTTGAGCCCTCAATTACTATCTTATACAGGTCTGGTTGGCGAGGAGTTTTTCCAAACGATATGGAAATGACATTGAACTCTGATGAGCTCTTCAGCTTGTTGCAATTTTCTTTCAGTTCGGATACTTGCTCGTGGTTATCCTATTGTCACCGTTATTGGACATGGTTTTTCAGATTCTCTATTAAACTTTCCCAGTCAATGGATGGGGTTGGCAGAAATATCTGGATTCGATGACTCTAAGTACATCACTTAATTCAGCATTCGATCTACAGGGCTTTTCATGATGAGAGTTAATTAGCCGTTTCTGGCAAACTATTCAACGGATCAACCTGAAAATTTCATAGTATGCATAAGTCAATATGACCTACACGCCTAAAATATTTAAGACGAAGCGGCGTTGTCGCTTCTACTATAAAGTAGCGGCTTCTTTGATTTTTCAAATGGAACACCCCGTATATAATATCT